TTACTACACTACGTTATGTATTACAATTAGACTGTAATGAAACGAAATACTTGTAACAGACTAATGGCAGAAAAATCCTTAGATTAATTTAGTTGCTACAGGATTAAAATGGTTAATGAAATTCTCTTTTCTTTCCCCCCGTCTGGCACAGACAGGTTGGGGGAACTTCCCCTGCTTCTGGGAAATCTGCATACTTAGTCTAAAAAGGAAAAAAAAAAAAAATGCAGGTGTAGCTCCAAAGTTATAAGGTTACATTCTGGTTGCATTTAAGGGTTTCCTTTATATATATTTAAAAAAAAAAAAAAAAGTATTTAAAGTCCTGTAATAGCTTGCGGAGAAACACTCATTCTACGGATTTTTTTTTTTTCTGTCATAACATTCTAAGAAAAGACACATTCACTAGAAAACAATGCTGAATTCACCAGTTAACATTTTATAACAAATGTCTTAAACACACAAAGATGTGCTGAGCACAGAAGACACTCCAAACACCTGGAGGGCAAATGTTAAAATACACCTTATTGCAAACCTAAATCTTTTCTACATAATGGAAACTGAAATACTCGAACATTTGGGTTGCCACAATCAGTCATAGTGAATCATAAAAATCTTCCAAATACTTATTTTGAGCATTAAAGGTGTAAAACCTTTTGCACCTTTATTCCTTTGTGTGCCCCTTCTCCTATACAGCTCTCAGAAAGAGGTTATGGATGACCAAAAGAAATCAGAGACCTGCTTTCCAATCATTAAAAAAAATGCAATCTATGGCTTTTCACTAGAGTAAAAAGCATACAGTTCAAGAAATAAAACACTGGTTGCACATCATGTGAATGGGACATCCTATACCTGTTTATTGTATCCCTGAACGCTATGAAAGCAAGCGATTGGCTGAAATACCTCAGCAAATGTCAGCAGCCAATCACTGGGGACGACAAAGAAAGGAGCTTAGCCTGGGTTCTGGACAGACTTTGCAGTATGTGTGCTACAAGCTCTTCCAGGATTATTTACTAAAGATGTAAAGATTTGTGAGGAAATCAACGTGACTTAACACTAGTAGGCCACAACACAGAAAATTTTCCAAATTGGCTTCTGCAATATTTTCAGTTTGGCTATTTTGGCATACATAGCTCCATTTATATAGTACAGAAACAAGGCATGCAGAAATTGACACGCCGCGTGCCATAATAAAGCTTATTATGACAGACAGGGTACTAGTCTAATAGGGTCAAGTCCCATTGATTTTGTATCTCATTAACAGTGAGGATAAATTCTGGTACTGTTCAAACTTACAACAAACTAACACGGGGAAGGCGAGTCAATTTTGTGATGCTTAAAGGACCACTATAGGCACCCAGACCACTTCAGCTCAATGAAGTGGTCTGGGTGCCAGGTCCCTCTAGTTTTAACACTGCAGCTGAAAACATAGCAGTTTCAGAGAAACTGCTATGTTTCACTGAGGGTTAATCCAGCCTCTAGTGGCTGTCTCACAGACAGCCGCTAGAGGCGCTTTCACGATTCTCACTGTGAAAATCAGTGAGAAGACGCTGGAGTAATGCTTTCCTATGGGCGGTTTGAATGCGCGCGTGGCCCTTGCCGTGCATGCGGATCTGACGTCAGCAGGGGGAGGAGAGGTCACCAGCACCGAGGGAGCCTGGCGCTGGAGAAAGGTAAGTGGCTGAAGTGGTTTTAACACCTTCAGACCAGCGAGAGGGGGCCCCGAGGATGGAGGGGCCTAATGACCCTATAGTGCCAGGAAAACGAGTTTGTTTTCCTGGCACTAAATTGGTCCTTTAATAGGTTAAGAGATTTGTCACATCGTCCTATACCCCTCTCCGAAAATGCAAACTTCATTATGACATCCCAAAAGCCCAACTTCTCTTGTAGTCAAATTAATCATTTTGGAATGCTCCCAAAGCCTCCTTTTACCACAATCACTACAATAAGTTGTACTGGTTATGATACTTGGAAATTAATGGTAAAAGTATGATAAAGGACATATGATTCAATCTTGTCGAAATCAAATTTTTGGTTGTTGTGTAAAAAATAAGTAAGATTTATAGTTTCAATTCTTTCAAGTGCCTTATAACTTACTCACGTTTTTATCCTTACTATAAACTATTACTCTTTTACAGTGGTCACATGACTTTTGTTGTTCATGCATGGTTTTAAAGTAGCCCTATGCTGCCACCTAATGTTCAATGAAAACAAAACAAATTAACATCACCTATCAATAGGAAAGATGAAGCAACTTTTAATACAGGATATGATTTTTTATATTTATTTATATATATATATATATATATATATATATATATATATATATATATAATCTTAAAAATGCAACAGTCAACTACTCTAGATCAGAATGTTATTTAGGGTTACAAAACCCGTCTAGCTGCAATGACACTTTTTAACCTATTAAAGGAGTTTGACAATAGCCGATGAGCTGATTTTTTTTTTTTTTTGGAATGTATAGATAACTTCATGACATATCAATAGCCATTGGCTTTGATATCATACATGATATTTTTAGATAAACATTTAATATGAGTTCATATTTTGAGAAAATATATTTTATATATGAAATTTGATATTTTAATATTTAGAATTTTTTTTAAAAGCATATCACAAAAATATTAAACTTAGGTCCATATAAATAATTCACAAGAAATGCAATTTTAGTTACAATAAAACTAATTCTATTTACCAGTGAGAAATGGCCTTTACTGGTTGAGGAAAGGAGAGCGATATAAGAAGGGTTCAGTACTTAACACTCAATAATTTCAATAACTATTAGATCATTAATGGTGGGGGGGTAATGCAAATAAGGATGATAGGAAATTAAAGATGTGCAGTCACTTGTTTTTCATAATGATAGGGGATCTTTAAGAATAAGTAAAAAAAAAAACAAAGGAAAAAAAAACAAACATAACAGTGTTAGAGTTTCTTTGATGTTAAGATATAAATGGGGTTCACTGTCTCTTGGAAGGCCAGATTTAAGGCAATGAGTGGAGTTGGAGATCTTGGGGTTATTTGGAAAGACTGGTGTATCATTCAAGCTTTGTTTTTTTTGTTTTGTTTTTTAAAAAGTCTGTTGGAGGGGGCGGGGCCGGGCAGCCATGCTTGCAGGCTGCAAGTCACCACGGCTCCTGAGGAATTCAGCTAATTTTGGGCAAATACCCACTTAATTCAGCCTGAAACACACTGGAAACTCGTGGAACAAGAGCTCGGAGTGTCCTGGTGCAGCTAGAGCACCTGAAATCGGGTGACTCTGGGTCCCAGTGAGATGCTCTGGGACTTGGGGACTGAGGCCTACCCGGGGGGGGGGGAGTGAAGCGGACGGCCGCTGCCCCACTTTCCACCCCTGACTAAAGAGACCCACAGCGCGGCTGGAGCCCTCCCGGCCCCGTTCACCCCCCCTTTGGACCGGTGGGGGTTATCCCGGTCTCCACCAGGCAAGTAAACACCTTCAAGGCACTCCTGGGCGGCTCGACGACGACAGCCGACAGCCACCATGCGGCCCTAAGAAAATGGCCGAAAGCAATGTAACTACCTTGCGTTGAGGAAGACCTCACACACCACGCAGCCGAATCCATGCACATCCCTCGACAGCAAAGGTGGTAAAGAGGGGAAGACGGCAATCCACAAACCTACCGCCCATTCACGCGACAAGCCCAATATATGCCCCACTTGAAAACGCCTTACCTCAGCCTCCTGCCACCAAATCCGCAGACTCTCACTGGGGAAAGGCCCGGAAAAGCGATCCACTCATGAAAGCACAACAATACCGGTACCCACACCCGGATAATGAGCTCTGCGCAGCTCAACACTCGTACTCACCTCACGACCGGGTAATATGACCACACCGACCCCCAGACACTATGCTCTGTAGCGGGCCGTTGGGACCCAGCGGACCCTGGGCGACCTTCAGGGTATATCCCCATGTGCAAGAAGAGCATGCCCAGCAACAGCATCCACAACACGACCTGTCGGCAGCTCCAACTCCTCACGACGGAATACACGAAGGGCACAAGCCACAGAACTCACCGCAGACACCCCCACCAACAGACACTCTGGCGGCACTCACCGCTACACGGACACCTAAGTCAGTAAGGTCACACTCAAACTGGCAATACATAACGGCCGTCACCACCCTGACTTTTGCAAACGATGACCCAACGTGCCGAAATCTGCCTGGTGGTACTCTACTCTGCTTTACTTTATTTTGATTTAATCTACTTTACTTTATCTTATTTGACAGACCACCCTAGCTAAGCTATTTGTTTTCTAAAAACCGCTGTGCACATGTCTGTTATAAATATAAGCTCACTAACTACACACCCAGCTTCTGACCCTAAGTAACCTCGTAGTAAAGAGCTCCAGACTATGCGGTGGCCCCCCTTAATACAAGCAAAAGAATTCAACAAGTTTAAAAAGTAGAATGTCTAGAATTTACAAAAGGTTAAACGTTAATGTTAAGCATGGATAGCGAGCATAAGAGCACAATGACTAGTATGTGTTTCCATGTATAATGTCTAGAATGCGCAGGAAGCGTAAATGCACATTGCTTAGTAAGCGCTGGAGGTCACCTTGACAAAGATTAACTTGATGTACTCATGTTTTGTTATTACATACCCTCACTTTAAACACAAAAAGTTCCAGTGACACTGTATACCCCACTGTTACAAATGTTATTGGTGTTATAGGTGAGTGGAATGCCTTTGGGGTACCACAAGCATGTCTGTTAAACCTATATGCAAAAAAAAAAAAACAGAAAGAAACGTAGTTCTTGCACTACTATACCTTTCATATATATAGCATGATAAATTAGCATGATTAAATAACAAAAAATGTGCTGTTTAATCGCATGCCATATTGTCTTAATGTCTAAGATGAGCCTGCAGGCGCTGATGTGGCACTGCAAGACTAACTGTTACTTGTTCTTACGTGCACAAAGAAAAATAAAGAATTATAAAAAAAAAAAAAGTCTGTTGGAGAAACGTTTGACCAAAATTCTATTTTTCTGAGCTCGGATTCTTATTAAATTTTCCAAACATGCCATAGTGATTATATAACAAATCAAATAGCACGTGTGGCTACAGTATATTGGACATAGCCACATTGGTGGTAACCATCCATAAGTGGATACGCTATTGCAATGATGAAATGACAGATTAAAGTAATCTATGAAAGGGAAAGGAGAGATTTCAGCCCATCTATAACTTCCCTGGGGGAGTTACTTTTGTTATCTAAAGCGTTTAATTCATTTACAATATAGTAGAATACATTGTTTTGGTTCACTAATATAATAGAAAACATTGTTTTAAGGGATAAGTCAACCACTTTTGTTTCAAGTTATCACAAGTAATTTGATCCTTCGATCCATTGTATAACTTCCTATAAGTATGTTCGAGCTGTCTTACATTCTGTTACATTGTATTGTCATCCACCAAGTTATATCTGCTGTATGTAACCCTGTGTAACAGCCTAATTTGCCGCGCTACAGAAATAAACCCATCTGCACAGGAAAAGCAAGCCATGTCAATTATTTCTATAAACGTCACCTGAAATACTATTCCCATGACAATGAAGCTGTGTTGGCACCTTGAAAACATGTTATACTAATAAAATACCAAGTCTGAAAACATGTAGAATGCATGTGAACTGTATGTTGGCTGACTATAAATGTTTACACTTTATGTGTGCAGTTATAGTGAATCTACATAAGTGGGAGCCGAGGCAATATTTAATGTCTGCAAGATAACTTTGTTCTGCATGTGAACGCAGGTCAATGTGTGATCAATAATAATATGGCAGATCTGATTATCGAAATGCGTGCTGAGGCATTTGTGTTAGTGTGACTTATAAGTTAGAGTATAGCCGTTTGTTTGGGTTCTCTAAGTTACCCTACATTTGATCCTTTATGTAAGGACTTTTCCATCTTAGTTTGCTCCTAAGTGGTTCATACCCTATTTTAGGGATTTTCAATTTATATGGTCTCCCGTGTAGCCACTGTTCTGTCACGTTTTTATTAATATTGTTCTCCCTGTTTCTTCCAATCTTTTTGCTCTCATGTTTCAATTGGTGTATTAAAAACATGAGAGTGACTTTTGGTAGGGAACTTCTATTTCACCCCTATTCATTCTCTATTATCTTTATTAAAGGGACAATATAGTCACCAGAACAACTGCAGCTTAATGTAGTTGTTCTGGTGAGTATAATAGTTCCCTCGGGCATTTTCATGTAAACACTGCCTTTTCACTTGCCCTCAAGCTTCCTGGCTCAGGGCTGCACAGTAAACAGCCCTGCTGTTCAGCGTCCCCACGCTCTGCATGGAGACACTGAATTTTCCTCAGAGATTCATTGATTCAATGCATCTCTATGAGGAGGTCCTGATTGGTCAAAACTTAATTTTAGCCAATCCAAATGGATTAGCTAAAAATCGGCCATTTCAATGAGGTCACAAAGGAGGCATTTGAACTTTTATAGGGGGGCAAGCCACCTAAATGGTGGGTTAAACACTATAGGGTCAGTAATACAGGTTTGTGTTCCTGACCCTATAGCAATCCTTTAATAATATTCTGAGAACCTGGTTATTTGGTATTTAGAGAGCTTGTATTAACATTTTTTTATTTTTGTGTTATATACTTTTAGGATTTTAACATATACCAGTGGTTCCCAATCCAGTCCTCAGGTACCCACTAACAATTCAGTATTTAGAGATTACCCAGATGTGTCTAAGTTATTTTTAGAAAGAAAAAACAAAACAAAAAAACTATAGACAACACGGTAATCCCTAAATCCTGTACTGGTAGGGCTGGGTTGGGAACCCCTGACATACCTATTTGGCACCATCTACAGTCTTCCATCAGGTAGTACAACAGCCTATATATTCTTTTTAGACCTTTCTCTAGGCAGGATTTGGAGGATTTGGATTTAATGGTGGAGATTGAAATCTGTGGGAAATTTGAAATGAACAATTTTCTCAATAGTTTTGTGTGTGTGTTGGTGTACACACATACATATATATATAAATTAAGTTACAGATTGTAGTATAATAATGCTACGGTAAAGGACAGTGTGTTTGTATTAAGCACTTGCTCAGAATGAATATTCTAAGTCTCCTAAGAAAAATCAAAACAATAACCAAAATTGTAATTTGGGATCCTCTCTTCCCCAACATTGGGTCACAGAACTGCTTCTAAAGTGCAACATAAATAGAAGCCTTGCTGTACATACAGCCCTAAATAGATTACAGTAAATATTCTTAAACTGTAGCCTTAGTTGTGCTGAGATTACCAAGCTTCCCATGCCTTACAATAAAGCAAAGTGGTTAGAAAGTATCTACAGTATGTCTAGTACCTGGGTAAACCTTTGTAGGACAGGTTTGACTCCAAGCAGAGCCAATCCACCTTTTCATGCCTCAGGGTTTGAGGAATAACACCAAAACCCCAGAACATGCCAAAAAATCTGTTTAAAAATAGTTTTATGCATTAAAACAGCGCTCTAAAAATTAAGAAAACACCACTGTAAAATAATTCAAAGACAAAAAAAAAACAGTCCTTCTGCCATACTAATGTATTCCATCTTTCAAAAAGAAAGACATGATTTTAATATTACTTAACAATATGTTAAAAAAGTAGCCACTTGGGCATCAGTGTTAATACAATTATACACTCTATAACAGATTGATAGTGTGAGTATTTTTTTTTCCTTTTTTCAATTTTTTTTTCCTTTTACTTTCTCATTCTGCAAGTATTCTTACACAAGCTGGCTACAAGTCTGGAGAGAAAAAAAAAAATCAAAAACACAAATAAGCGTATCTTGTACACTTCTTTTAAACAGTAGATTGTGAGAACTTGGGAAATGTTTGTCTACTATGAGTTTTGTTTTTACTTTTCCGTGAGGTTTAAAGAGTCTGGAAAAGATGAGCACATTGATGTCTGTTGCTTTGCCAGTAGTCAATATAATAAAATGTAGCATACTGCAGAAGTGACGGGAGCCACTGTCAATGATGCAAACAGCTTTTTTGTTGCCTCCACCAAACCCAAGGAACCAGTCTTAAGTCTGAGGCCAAGGCAATAAGGAGAGAGCGTATTGCTACAACCAAAGTCTTCACTCACAGACTACAAGCACACAAGCTAACAAATTCAGGTAGAAAGTGGCATTTCGTTTTTCAGATCAGCGAGAATTATCAGGCCGGAAAAGGGGGGGTTTCAGTGCAGATCCACACAGCACTGGGAAGAAGGCAAGGCAGCACTGGCTCAAGGCCGAATAAGCGCTCAGACAGCAGGGCATAAATCAGTGGGATTGGTTCCGGCAGGGATTCCCCATTAACAATGTGAAAGTCAGTGTGCGGCGTAGGTCGTTTTCTTCAAGCTGAAGTTAGACCAGTTGATTGAAAGCCTTTGCCGTGTTTGTCTGGCAGAGTCTAAGCAGAACCTGGAGAAATAATCAGAACAATTTATTAGATAAAGACCTAGTACTAGATATCAGAAAGTAGACACAAACCCAGCATTATAGACTTTATGGAACCAGCTTGCACATGCGCAAGAAAAACATTTGAACAAAAAAGCAAGACCTGCGCTCGCATTAGGACTTCACCCATCTGGGTTTCAGGTGACGCTGGCTGTCCTAGCGATCAGGAAGTCCCTTTAGTGGCTGTCTGGTAGACAGCCACAAGAGGTTGAGTTAACGCTCCAAGGTTATTATTGCAGTTTATCAAACACTGCAATAATTACAATTGCATGGTTAACAGGCCTAGGACACTGTACCCAGATTAAAGGGACACTATAGGCACCCAGAACACTTTAATGAGCTGAAGTGTTCTGGGTGCCTATAGTGTCTCTTTAATCATTGTTATCAACTCCCGTCCTTTTCACCAAGCATGCAGAAACAGAGAAATTAAACAATCTTTATTTCTCCTCTCCATTTGCAGTATTTACCCTGAACAGGTCATAAAAAAGGTAACTCAATTTAGAGGTGATTTTCAAAGTTTTATAAATATCAGAGAAGTTGCAGTACATATGTGTATTCTTCATTCAGTGGAACAGACACACACAGGGCCGTCTTTAATACTGATTGGACCCCACTAATACAAACAAAAACAGACATACACGCAGATACATACACGGATCCACACGCAGATACAGAGATACACACAGATACAGAATGATACACATTCAAATACACAGAATGACACATATCCAGACAGACACAGAATGACACATATCCAGACAGACACAGAATGACACATATCCAGACAGACACAGAATGACACATATCCAGACAGACACAGAATGACACATATCCAGACAGACACAGAATGACACATATCCAGACAGACACAGAATGACACATATCCAGACAGACACAGAATGACACATATCCAGACAGACACAGAATGACACATATCCAGACAGACACAGAATGACACATATCCAGACAGACACATATCCAGACAGACACAGACACATATCCAGACAGACACATATCCAGACAGACACAGACACATATCCAGACAGACACATATCCAGACAGACACATATCCAGACAGACACAGACACATATCCAGACACAGACAGACAGACACAGACACACAGACACAGACAGACAGACACAGACAGACAGACACAGACACACAGACACAGAGACACAGAGACACAGACACAGAGACACAGACACAGAGACACAGACAGACACAGACACACATATATACAAAGACACCCATACGGACACACAAACAAATACTGATATACAGGGTCACAGACACATACACGCAGGCAGGCAGACAGACACATACACGCAGGCAGGCAGGCAGACAGACACATACACGCAGGCAGGCAGGCAGACAGACACATACACGCAGGCAGGCAGACAGACACATACACGCAGGCAGGCAGGCAGACAGACACATACACGCAGGCAGGCAGACAGACACATACACGCAGGCAGGCAGGCAGACAGACACATACACGCAGGCAGACAGACACATACACGAGGCAGGCAGACAGACACATACACGCAGGCAGACAGACACATACACGCAGGCAGACAGACATACAGAGACACATACACGCAGGCAGACAGACACATACACGCAGGCAGACAGACACATACACGCACATTTTTTTTAAATGTGTTTCCTACCTTTGGAGTGCAGGAGGCTGGCTCAGGCTGATGGAAGTCAGAGCTCCCACTGACTCCCTCCTTTTCTTCTCCTCCCACACGGCGCTCGGTGAATGCTGGGAGGAAGTGACCGGCTGTCACTTCCTCCCAGCATTCTGACATCACAGGTGCCCGGTCGTGCTCTCAAAGCGGCCGGGCCCCTGAAAATCCATCGCCATTGGGTGGCCCTTAGAGCATTGGCCACCCGATGAGCCCCCACATCGCGTAGCCTGCGTGGTAGTTCCACGTGGGCTGCACGCACCACAGCGACCGGAAGGCTAAGGGTGCAGATGCTTTGGGCCCCCTAAGACTGACTGTGCCCAGGGCAGCTGCCCCTTTTGCCCCGTGTTAAAGATGGCCCTGATATCAGTTCAAATTGACAGTTTCAAATTTTACCTTTTAAAGTATTCCACCTCTCTCTCGGTCTCATCCATTTCCACGCTGTCCAGATCAATATCTTTAGGAAGAAAGACATCATCTGTAAAATGAAATGATCAGTTAGGACCACGGTTTACTTTTCCAGAACTACAAAATAAAAATGATTTTTAAGTAAAATTTTCACACTGGTTTGTAACACTGAAACAGGAAGAAAAAAAAAAAACAAATTTCCCTTCCTCCACCCCCAATGTGTAACAATAAATCCCATACATTTGCTCATTTTACAAGCACAATGCATAGACAAAATGTAAGAGTCAAACGCTAGGTACAGACTATCCTTACATATATACAAATTTCAGCTACAATGCAGTGATATAGGAAAGTACGATTTTTATATAGAAATAGTAGACAAGTGAGAAAGGCATT